ATACCCCTTGCAGAATGTGCAAAATGTTAATATTTGAAACTAAATAAGAGGGATCATGAAAACTTCATGTTATTTTTTATTTAGTACTCCCCCCGTCTCTTAATGCATTGTGTGGCCTTCTTGAGCATCAGTACATGTTTTCACCGTTTGTAATAGTTATGCATGAGTCCCTCAGTTGTCCTCAGTGTTCTCAAAATCATACAGTCAATGTTGGAAAGGGTTCAAATATAGAGAAGATGCTGGAAAACCAAAGAATGTGCAGGAGCTAGAGGATTTTTCTGAAGAACAGCAGACAGTTGACCTGCTCAGGACCAACAAGGGGCTCATGAACAACTATCACAAGGTATAAAAACAGTCGTGGATCATCCAGGAAATGACACACAGTATTGAGATTCAAGGGTATGTAAACTTTTGAAGGGGGTCATTTTTATAAATTCAGTTATTATTTTGTCTTGTGGAGTACATATACATCTGTTATATGAAATAGCTTATTCAGAACAGTACTAAATAAAAAATAACATGCAATTTTCATGATCCCTCTTATTATGTTTCGATTATTAACATTTTGCACATTCTGCAAGGGGTATGTAAACTTATGAGCACAACTGTATGTGTGTATATATATATATATATATATATATATATATATTCTCTCTCTTTTTTTTTCAGTCCAATTTAACCCCTGAAATTAAATCAGAAAACCATAGCAACACTAGATGGCCCATAAGTGCCTGCTCTTGATGTTTGCTTTTCACTATCTCATTTTTAGAGGACAGCTAATGGACCATACAAATATTCAGTCTCATTCCCCCCGATGGAGTCCTCTGTAGACACTGCCTATTAAAAGGACAACTGTGACTTTTGTCTCTTGTCCTCAGGGAAAGAGGCCATGGTGTCGCTTTTATAGAGCTTTGAGATATTTAAAGCATCATCATGTCTGTTGCGCAAAGCCTGTTAAACATTTAACCCCATCAGGCAAGGTCAAACACACAAGCACACACATGCGCACAGAGTAATCAGGCCACAGTGGCACAAATTGCATATTAACAAGGGCTTTAGGTCTATTGTGTCGATGCTTTTTCTCAGTGGGTGCTATTAGTGGAGCTAGCACTGTGTATGACAAGATGGGAATAGCCTTGAAGTGCAGCAGTGAGGTGGTGTGTCAGGCTTTTTCTTTCGGTCGTCTCTCCCAAATGTACTGTAATCTCAATTTGGGGTCCCATCGTGGCCCTCTAGTCTACATAACTATGAATATCATGCCCTTAATTCATTGCTGTAGGGAGTCATGTTTAATCAGCATCATTATTGGATTCTAACCATCTATTCCAGTCTTGTTACAAGAGAGACAGATACTTTTTGATATTATGCTATTGAAATATGGTGTTAATCTTCTGAACTGGCTGAAAAAATGTTCAGATCTCTGTCCTGTGGTGGTTGAATCGAGCTGTTAAAGATTTTTGACAGCCATCACAATCCAGCCCTCTAAGTGCGTGTAGGAATTCCATTGGGAAAAGACTTCCAGTCAGTTTAGAAGAGAGGATCAGCTGCAGTCTTATAATTAAATGTCAAATTTATATTTGGAGTCTAAATAATTATGGATGAAAGTGTGACCAGATCAAAATCAAATCCGAGCACACTAAATTATCACAGGAAAGAAAATCCTCAGAGATTAGGGTTTATGGCAGGGACATTTGCAATTACGCTTGCAGAATTGCACATTGGAGATGTTTAGCTATGTTTTTTTTTAAAGTAAATTGTCGAAAAAAGACTTCAGTATATCACAGGTAACACGTTTCAATGAACATGTTTACACGTATTATAAAAATATATATAAACCACCCTGACTATATTCAGTTATTTATTCTTAAGCTTTTACATATGGTCCCCCTAGACTTGAATATTCACTTACATCCTTTAGTAATAAAAAATAACCAAACGATGTGTGATTACAAGCAGCTTTTAATTACCATTATATATATTAACATAATTAGCGTGCTTGTAGTTAATTATATACACAGTAACACGATCACTGTAAAGTGTGACCTCAAACTGTAATAGCCTTTCAATAATTAATGTCCATATTACCAAGGCATGTATTATTTTTATTATTATTATTTTTTAATACAACAGACTAGGGGTGTGCGATATCGACAAAAAATTATATCTCGATATTTTATGGGATTTTATCGATAACGATAATTAGACGATATTTTGCTGAGTGTGTTATTGTGCTGGTACCTTAAGGACTGCCGAAGACAGCTGACTCCTAATGTTTT